GAGCCGTTGTTACAGCTGACGGACCTATGCTGACCATCGCAATCACCCAGAGTGCACCGTGCACATTGGGGTCACTTGGGACATTCTGCGGGTTGGGACGAACGTGAAAGGACGGGTGCCTGTCGCTCCGGTGCCACCCAGCGCAGTCTCACGGCCCTAACATCCTCTGCTCTGCCTGTTCGTTAGCCCGCCCCGGTCCCTGACCCTTTCCCTGTCCCCATCGTTCTGCCCCTCCCGGAATGGCAGAGCTGGAATCACACGGTCGGAGCCTTTTCCGATGGCTTCTTCCACTTGGCGACATGCGTTTCATGTTCCTCGGTGTCTTCACGGCTTGGGGTGCACTTATTTTAGTGCAGAAAATGGATCTTGAACACCCTTTCTCCCGAGATGACCGCGTCCCTTCCTCAGGTTAATGAGGGCGTCTCTGTGGCCGGGGGGCCCTGCCCTGGGGTCCCTGCCTGGAGGTCCCCGTCCCACAGTGGTCTGGGGAGGTGGGCATGGCCGCCCCGGGCGCCGGCGATTTGGCCTCCAATTCGGCCCCTAGTTCTTCTAGTCACATGACATAGAATTTACCGTTTGAAAGTGAATGGTTCAGGTGGTCTGAATGGTTCGCGCGGTCTGAATGTGATGCAGCCACCTCCCGTCTTGCTCCAGAATGTTCCGTCACCCAGAACAACCTGCGCCCATCGGCAGTCACTCCTCAACCAACCAGCACCCACGGGAGCAGCCGGGACACCGACGCCTCCGGGCTCCTGTCCCCCAAGCAGTCTTCCTGCCCTCCCAGTGGGGCCCCTCAAGGTCCGCCAGCTCCGGACACTGACGTGTGATGTCAGGGCCCACGGGCCTCGTGTCAGAGCCGCCGGGGTCCCATCGAGGCTCCACTGCAGGGGGGCCGTGGGCAGACCTGGTCTTCCTTCCTGTGTCCGCCGAAGCTCTGGTCCACGATGACCCACGAGTCATACTTGTCTGTCCCCTTCGCTCTTCACTGAGGTCGTCTGCGTTGCCGGGCACAGCAAGTTCTGTCCTTCCCAGACTGTTCAGATCAGGAGCACAGGGACAAGCCGGCCGAGATGGCCGCCGTCTCCGGCTACTGGTCACTCAGTTGTCTTCCCAGGGCCAGAAGTTCAGGAACCGGGCTCTTCCGGGAGAGGGACACACAGTAATGGGGTGCTGGGAGGAGCAGGGTGGCCAGGAGCACAGAGCGGCTGTCTGGGGTGCCGCCGTCCCCCAGACCCGGCCGGAGGGTGGGCTCTCAGCCCTGGCCGAGCCAAGCAGGCGGGGGTGCAGGTGGGGGGCCGCGGCTGTGCTCACGCCTCACAGGGGAGCAGTCTGAGCTAACTTCGCCAGAGCACCCCCAGAATTCAGCACAGACCCATGTGGCCCCCACATGAACGTCCGGTCACCCCATCACGTCTCAGGAGGACAAAGGTTTAGCACCACCCACAGTTCTCATAAACACAACAGCAGGTCACAGGACAAGTTCCCCGTCGAGTTTTGGTTTTCCCATAGTTTTAGATTTACGTTTATCTGCAGTAAACCACAGCTCTTAGCTACAGGAGTGTCGCTAGGACGTGTCATTCCGAAGTTCTGCTGATCGGTTTTGACAGACTCAATGACATGGCCTCAGAGCCCCGTTGCAATCTGCCATCATCTGCCGCCACCGGAAAATGGTGACGATGCAGAGTGGGGGCGGCAGGTGTAAGGTTCAGCTTTAAAGCGCGCCCCAGTCTGCTCCAGCATGTGATGGTGACACGTTTTGCAGCGGGGCCCTGACAAGGAGTGCCACGCCCAGCTGGGGGTGCCAAACCCAGGGGCTCTGCGGGGTTTCCCGCACCCGCCTGGTGTGGGCCAGGCCTCTAGGCTGCCCCGGGGGAGAGGGCCTGCAGGGCCCTCTAAAAGTCACGCCTGCCTAAAAGTCTGAGGCCCTGGTCCCAGGGGCCAGGCTCCTGTCCATGCTATTCAGAAGTGGCTGTCATGAGGTCACCAAGTACGTCTGTCGTGGCACCCAAAACATTTTATGGTCCTGGAGACTACGAGACAGGCTGGCTGTAGACTCAGACGGGGGCCCTGACCACATGGCGGCTGCCAGCCTGGGCAGCGCCCCCCGCCTCCGTCAGCCCACACAGCCAGCGCCGGCTCAGTGAGCACAGAGTCCCTGGGTCACTCGCCCCTCTGCCAACTCAGGACACCATCTAACCGACAACTTGGGGCACCTGTATCTGTCAGCTGGGGCTGCGTGACAAATGCCACAGATGGCAGCTTACACCACAGACATTTCCTGTCCCCCATCCTGGAGGCCCGACGACCGAGATCCAGGGCTGGGCGGGGCTGGCTCCTCCTGGGCGTGCAGACAGCCATGTCCTCCCCATGTCCCCACAGGGTCATCACTCTGCGTGTGTCTGTGTCCTGAGGACCCCACTCATCCGGGCTTAGGGCCCCCGGGGCCCCACTTCCTCAATCCCGTCTGTAACGGCCCACCTCCAAACACGGCTGCACCCGAGGTGCTGGGGTCAGGGATCCCGCACACGGGTTGCGTGTTCACCATTCAGTCCATAACAACACCCCGCATCTAGTGAGCTGCCCACCATGACCCTCTCCTCAGGGCGCCCGGAGGGACCTTCTCCAGGATCCGCGTCCTACCCGCCGACCCCAGGTCTGACGGCAGAGATGGGCCGACGCCCTGCTGTGGAAAGCTCTAGATAAGCTGCCTGCTGGCTGGTTCAGCTGTAGCTTCTTCTGCACAGGGCCATCTGCTGACCACCTACCTCCCTGTCCCCTGCTGGTCTGTGGGGGCCGCAGGCTCCTGAGATGGTGCACAGGAGCCTCTGCGACTCCCCTCAAAGCAGCTCCCAGGGCTCAGACGCCCTCACCACGGGACCCCAGAGAAGGGCCACCAACAATCAGGTTGCACAAGCTTTCCAAGGTGAACACGCGGACAGACCCATCGCCGTGTGTGAACACCGGAAGCCCTGTTCTCACGTCGCATGAAACCCACCAAATGTAACCGTAACTGGGTAAAAGCTAAATTTGAATCACAGTTTAAACATTTCTAAACGTCAGACTTACAGGGTTCTTTTCGTACTTTAAACCAGGAAAAAAAATATTTTCTGGTCTCAACCCTTTTCATAGGCCGATGAGAGGTTCACAGGCCCAGGTTACAAGATTGGGCACGTTGTGTCTGAGCAGTCACAGCCCACACGACCCAGGAGCACACTGTGCCCGCATGGGGACATTCCAGTTCACCGAAGGCCACAGCCCAGCACTGTGCAGAGCGGAATCACCCCCAACCGCCAAGAGGAGGGAGCCACCAGGTGTCCGACGGGTGGATGGACAACCGTAGTGTGGTCCCTCCACACGAGGGAACGACATTCACCTGCACGGGGATGGAAACCTTGTCACAGGCTGAGGGAAATGAGCCCGACATGGAAGGACAAGTCCTGTGGGGACCAAAGCTGTGTAACCCACAGAGACAGAGAGGAGCTGCTGGTGCGGGGGGGGTCGGGGGGCGGGGGGTTAGTATTTAATGGGAACAGAGTTTTAGTTTGGGAGGATGGCGAAGTCCTGGAGGTGACAGTGGTGACAACTGTATGACACCGAGAACGTGCTTCACGCCTACAGTGGCTGTGATGGCGATGTTCACGCTGTGTGTATTTTACCACAATAAACAAAGGTCGCAGGCACCTGTCATGGGCCTGCGGGAGCACTGGGTTCTGAACCCGAAGGGCAGCTCACTCCCGGCCCCTGGTTGTTTTGGAATATTCTCCCTCGTACAGAGTCTTTTTCCTTGAACACGTCTTTATAAACGTCTTGGCTCTTTCCACAGATTTTCCTTCCAAACATCAAGGCCAGGTGATTCCGCAGCCTCGTGATCCGCCCGGTAAGTCTGATGCCAAATCTTGCCAAAGACACAAGTCCCTGAACCGCAGCTACCGTGTTTTGAGCATAAACCCTTAAGACAGTGCCCCCGACGTGACAGCCAGTGGCACAGGAAGGCTGGCTTAGCCCCCGACACCGCTGAGGTCGCCACGGAGCCCCTGGCAACCTGACAGGCAGGAAAACCCAATGTGGGGGTGGAGGTGTGAGGCGGGGCGGCCCCTGGGCAGCGCGCAGCTGCTCAGGTGTCTGTGCCTTACCTTTGTCTGGGTCCCACCTGCTCCTCTGCGTAGAAGTGACACCAACCAGGCTGCGGTTTCCTGAGAGACGGCGACCCCCCAGGCGGAGAGCCAGGCGGAAGCCCTGGGTGCCTCCCAACCCTCCTCTTCGTCCTCGTCCTTCCCCGCCTTCTGCCTCGTCAGCATTTCATCACTCTGCCCGGGGGACCGAATGGACAGTGGCCAGTGGCCAGCCACACGTGACAGCAGGACTGACCTGCGCAAGAATTTGGGGAGCCAACCACAGCCTGTACCAGCCCCAGAAACGAAAGCCGCGCTGAGCGATCACAGGAGCCCCCCTTCCCGCCAGGTCCCATCCCCTGTCCCCGCCGCCCCTCCCCTCCGCCTGCTGCGGTCTGGCGGGCGGGCGGCTCCGGCTGCGGTAAACGGCCTCTTTCTCCTCATGCGGGAACAGCGCTCTCTTCGCTGGCCTCTGTGCAGCTCGCCCGCCGCAAACGTTTTCTGGCTTATTTATCATCGGCCGTGTGCCAGGCGCCGTGCCGGGCTCTGCGGAGGAACAGGCTGTGCCTGCTGCCACCTCGCTCTTGGTCTAGTTTGGGAAATGGACCTGTTAACGCATAGGTGACAGAGTGCGGCGGGCGCCTCTAGGGCTTGGGTTTCACAAGACAGGAGCCTGCAGGTGATGGCAGGGAGGGCTCAGCCCCTGCAGAGCCCGAGCCGCAGCCTCAGTGTTGGGGTCGTGAGGTGCAGGCATGACAGCGACAAGACCAGAGAGTGTTTCAGAAAGTTTGGGCACAGGGCGGGACAGGCCGAGAGGCCGGAGCTGCTGAATGAAGGTGGTGCCGGCCAGGAGGAGCTGGGGAACCGAGGTGGACGAGTGTGGGGGGAGGGAGGGGGAGCCCTCAGGACTGGCGAGTGGGGGACCAAGTACCCGAAAGGGCGACTTAGACCCTCTCGGGGCTCAGGCACGTGGTTCGCACTTGCAGCCCCCGGCCGCGTCCCACTGGCTGCTTCACGCCTCATCCGGTGTCACAGATGGCCGCAGCCCGAGGTGGCCGACACCCATCCCCCTGGCTGGCTGCCTCAGAACAGGTGTCCGGGTCCCAGAGCCAGGCAGCACCACGTCACCCCAACAGTCAGGAAGGAGTCCCCGAGGACCCGGTCAGTGTGGGAGGAGAAAGGCAAAGTCACCTGAGCGCGGGCGGATGCTCGAGCCCGCAGTTGAAACTGCAGGTGTGGACGGTCACCCAAGCGCCAGACAGCGTGCAGGACGAGGAGGGAGGGGCGCTGCAGCTGGGCGCGGGGTTTCCTTTAGGCAGGGTGGCGAGGGTGCTCTAAAGCCAGGTCATGGTGGCGCTGCCTCAGCCGGCCACCGTCCTGGCTGCTCCGAACAGCCGTGCTGGCCGCCTGCGTGCGCGTGTCCCCTCAGCAAGGCTGCTTCCGTCTGAACTTTTACTTATAACTTGGTGGATTTTACACTGTTATTTATACATACGTTTTGAAAATCGATTCTTGCCAGAGAATAAATTTCCTTTTAACCAAAGGTTTCAGGATTCAGTTGAATAACTTAATTTTTGTTATGTGCAAAATGCCTTTTTTAAGTAAAAAGGCATTGAGACTCCATCCTCCCGAGACTAATTTCTTTAACCTATTTAAGTGTATGCAAATTATAGATTTTAATCGACACCATAGCTTTCGTTACAAATCTGTGCTTTTTGTGCCCAGCCCAGGGAGCTTGCATTAGGAGTCTCCATTTGATTCCCTAAATTTCCCTTCCAGCTTCGAGACGCCTCATCTAAGCTCCACCGTAAGCATTTGGGGTCTCCCCAAACCAATCAAACACGGCCCTGCTCCAAATTTCTGAGACTTCTGAGTTCTGGCAGGGGTCCCTCATCACGCAAGGCCCCCTTCCTGGGGACACTCTCCTTGTCGCCCGACATGTATTCCTAACAATGCGGGGCAGAAAACTCATCTCAAATAAAAGAAATCATAAAATTCTTGGACAAACTGGAGATTATACAGCCTACCTTTCTTCTGAGAAAAGATAAGGAGAAAACACCGTGTACATTCAGCAGACCCCTCGATGGGTAAAGAGTAGTTTCTTCAACAAATGGTGCTGGGACAACTGGACATCCACATGCGAAAGAATGAAATACGCAAAAATTAACTCAAAATGGATCAACAACCTAAATATAAACAGCTAAAGCCGTAGAACTTAAAGAAACCAGAGGCAAACCTTCATGACTTTGGACTTGGTGGTAGATTCTTAGAAATGACACCAGAAGCGCAAGCAACAAAAGAAAAAAACAGCTAAACTGAACTTCATCAAAATTAAAAACTTGTGCATCCGAGGGCACTATCAAGAAAGTGAAAAGACAACCTACAATGTGAGAAAACATTTGCAAATCACAGATCAGAAAGGGTCTAGTATCCAGACTACGTAAAGAAGTCTTACAATTGAGCAGTGAAAAGATAAACAACTCAATTTAAAAATGGACAAAGGACTTGAGAAGACATTTATCCAAAGAAATTGCACCATTTCCCCCACTGGGATGTCAATGGCCGCATGAGTGGGAAATAACAAGTGTTGGCAAAGATGTGTAGAAATTAGAACCACTGTACTTTGCTGATTAGAGTGTAAAATGGTTCAGCTGCTTGGAAAATGCTTTGGTCGGTCCTCGAAAAGTTACACAATTACCACGTGACCCAGAAATTCCACTCCTAGGGATATACTCCAAAGAACTGAAAATCCCCGCACACGAAATGTTCACGGCAGCGTTGGTCACAATAACCGAAAGGCGGAAACAACCCCAGTGTCCGTCTGTCGTGGATGAACAGATGAGCCACAGGGCACCACACGATGGGCCTTCCCCTGCCACAGCAAGGAATGAAGCGCCGACACACACTACGACCTGGATGCTCAGTGAAAGACGCAAGATGACAAACATTGCATGATTCCATTACATGAAATATCCAAAACGAATACATCCAGGGAGACAGTGGACCGGCGGGTGCCACTGGGGGAGGGAAAGCAGGGGACCGCTTCGTGGGGCCCGGGCTTTACCTGGGGATGATGAAAACGTTTGGAAGTAGACAACGGTGACTGCACATCGTGAATACACTAAATTCCACTGAAGGCTTCACTAAACAATTGTTCGTTAAAATGGCTAATGGTTAATTAGATGCTATGTAAGCGTCATCTCAAAAAAAAAAAAGTAAAAACACTATCGTTTTGTGAAATACTATGTCTGGGATTTGCTTCAAAATGAGGTGGGGTTAGAGACCTAAAACGTTAAAAAAAAAAAAAAATTGGTTTGCGAAGGAAAAAAATGGGAGGACGGCGGCGCTGGGCGGGGGAAGGAGCGAGAAGGAAAAGGCTCCGACGCGCACCTCCTGGGGCACAGTGGGGGGTCGCGGGCTGCGCTTCGTAAATTGACCCCTTGTGCCTTAAACTTCCGCGGTGTTATATGGCGGTTGTGTCCCAATAAAGCTGGACACAGTCCAGCTTTTTATTTTTAAAGGGCTGCCCTTATGGGTCCAGGGCGCGCCGCCCGTCAGACACCGGTGGAGACGCCGAGGAGGCCGGGTGCTTTGCCACGTCTTCGCCCCCATCTGGAGAACGTGCCCCACCCATGTCCGCCCCCAGGGACCTGCGGGTCCGTTCTCGTGTCTCTACCTTGGTCCAGGCTCCGCCCGCTCAGGTCCCCGCCTGGTGCCACTGCCCTGCGCTGGGGACCCCGCCTGGGGTGGG